GATCTACAGATTCAGTGCATGTTAGTAGAGGTCAAGGTGGTCACAACTCCTGATGCTCATATCTGCTGTCAGAGAAGTTATTTTGCTAATCCTACCAACAGGCAATATGTCTACCTTCCTTGATGTCCTGCTTCCCTGCACTCAATGGGAAGACAGGCTTATCAAGCCAGGGCTTAAGAAAGAGCAGGAGAAAGCTACAGAGGAACAATGACTTCATTGGGACTGAGAGGGCTGTGTGACTGCGACACTGTCACAGAGAGGCACAGTCTTTCAATGGCTCGCTTCCCAGTTTATGCTTTTTCAGGAGCTAAAATTCTGTTTTTTTGCCAGAATCCTGGGGCAGTTGCCCCTCCCTTCTCTTGCACCAGCTGAATACAATTGCCAATGTCATTCTGTGTCTGGCTGAAATGGTCACACCTTGATAAGGCCCCTCCATCAGCTGGGATTGCAGCTTCCTGGGAAGGGTAGGTGGGCCTTTGGATAAGGTTGTGCTTACAGTTGACCCTGGAGGCACTGGAAGCCTCCCTGTGACTATGGCATGGAGTCTTTTCTCATTGGGTTGTATGTTGGGGGACATGAAGGTGCACATCTGTGTCCACTATGGAATTTTATTTGGTCTGGCATGTGGTGTCCCCCACAATGAGTCTGGTATTTGGTTATATGCAGCCTTCATGGCAGGTGGCATCTAGTGTATCCTTGTCTCCCCTAAAGCACCCAGTGTGGGGTCTGGGTGACACAGGCAGTACTGGAGAGCATGAAGCTAGAAGAAAACACAACGTGTCTCAGAGGGCTAATTGTCTGTTGGTAGAAGGTGCAAGGAACTACTGAGGAACAAGGGCTGAACTGTCTGACCTTCCTGGGACACGGGACATTCAGGGCCTGGAGCAGCAGGTTGGCTGGAGCAGTTGGAGGTGCTTCCTGGGACAGGAGAGGCATGAGTGACCTGAGTGAGGAAAGAATTGAGAGTAGAGCAATGGGGTGGGGAAGGTCAACATGGGGAGGGACCTGGGCCAGGTCCAGGCTAGGGTCGGAGAGGACAAGGAGCATCTGGGTTCTGAGTGGGGCCTGCTCACACTGAGGGCATGAGGTGGGCACTGAGGGAGATGATCAAAGGGGACTCCCTTCCCTGGGCTCCTCATCAGAGATGCTCTGGAGACCTTCCCAGGGGGTGCTTGGGATTCCCATCCCGCTTCTCTCGTTCCTCATCTCTGCCACAGTCCAATTATCTTATTCTCCAATTACCAACACTCTTGCAAAATGTTCCCTAAGACAGGAAGGGATGAGGGCCCTCCCCCACACACCTTGGGGCTGCACCTGGTGAGTGGGATATCAGTCCCACTGGGGACCCACCGAGACTGCCGGCCACAGTGCAGGATGGCAGCTGGAGAGCCCCCCGATAAACAAAAGCACTTTCAGGTTACTTCAGAATATGATTTTTTTTAAATAAAAATATTTGAGTCTGGATCCCATTCAACCCCATAATGTAGTGATTTGCTTAATGACTGCAGAATATTGTCTTATCTGAGGAGAAGCAGGACATTTTAAGACCACAGAGCCTGGAATTAACAGCTTGGAATTTTCACCATGCTGGCTGTTAATTGACTTAAGCCATTAAAGGGAGAGAATTTTTGGCAAATCCTGAGATCCTCGTACAAGCCAAGCCATGGGCATGTTCAAATCATTTTGAAATAAAGTGTCTGGTGAGCCAACTATTTCAGAAAAATGGGCTGTTTAATCAGGAGGTTTGCAAAGGCTTCTGCAGCTTCTGAATAAAGTCTGAGAATAGTGTTCCGCTGCCCAATGGACTAACTCTGGAACCAAGGTGTGAATTCAACACACTAGCAACAGCCACTTGCATTTTTATTTTCTTAGCAAATGAAGTAAGACCTTGCCTCCTACCTCAAAACCACATCTCACTCTGCCATTTTCTTGGGGCCCTGGGCCTCCCCTAGCTGTGGTATGAACAAGGGTAAATAAGGAGGGTTATGGGGTTGCCTGCCCCTCAGGGCAGACAGACATCCTCCATGGCCCATGTGCAGTACAGCAGGGATCCTGAGATCCTGCATCCACTGGGGACACAGCGGATCACCCAGTGCCTCTCCTGTGGGGTTGGAGGAAGAGGTCGTGGTGGAGGAAGGGGCATGGATAGCAAGAGTGTAATTGTTCTGTGATCATTTACCAGAGCCAACCCCAAAGATCTGTGTTGGTGGGCACAGAATGTGCTGGCCCACAGCAGCTGAGCCCCTGATTGGCTGGGGCCATTCAAACAGCTTGATTTTTATGGAGTGTGTTTTTGCTCTGGAAATGCTCACTCTGTGGAAGAGGTGCCAGGCTGGCCCTCAGTGTACAACGGAGGAGGCCGCTGCTGGGCTGCTCAATCTTCTCTTTCATGGGGGACACATGCTCTGTTGGGGAGCATGCTCACTGTATTATGTTGTTCTTCTAGGCCCAAGGAAAGGGGGCAAGGCTGCTGCTCCAGGGCTGACAGGCCTTCCTAGGGACTGTCCCAGTGCCTGAGGACAGTCCTTATGGCCTTCCCCAATTGAGGGGCGGGACCCAGCTGTGCTCACAGCCCAGGCTGGGTGGGGTCTCCTTGAGGTGCAAGAAGCAAGACCTCTGGTTACAAGCAGGTGGACATCTCGGCTAAATTCAGCAAAAGGGATTTCTTGAGGAGATAGAATCTGAGCTTGGAAACTGGAAGAAGGAGAGGCCACTCTGGGAAGCTGGGGGGACACCTCAATGCAGCCTCTGCCTTATTCTTCCCCTAACAGTCCAAGGAGGGGCACCACTTGCTCCATCAGCCCATCTTGAATCACCTGCTGCTTCCTAGGCTGGAAGATGTCCCCTAAAAAGGCTATCCCACATAGTGTCACCTTGGGGGGGGGGAGGAGTTCCTCAGAGGTACTGAGAGTGCCATTGGTCAAGAGAAATGGGTGGTGGGCAGCCCATGCACAAATAAGCTCCCTCCCTGTTACAAATTTGGCCCCTGGAGCCAAGCTGGGCTCAGGGTGCTCTGCTAAGGACAGCTGTGCCCTTCCGGCCAAGAGTCCTGAGGAACCTAGGTCTTAGGTTCTCTGCAAGCGAGAGACAGCCAGAGCCTGGGTCCCTTCCAGAGGAAGCCCAAACTCATGGAGATGGAGGTCCCACAGGTCCAGCCCACGGGATGTCCAATGTAGACACTGGGGGCTAGAGGAAGATGACCAAGGGCTCTGCAGGGCCCAAGTCCAAGAATCCAAATGCTCCCCAACAAGGTCTGAAGCTGGAGGCTTCTGCATCTCCTGTTCCTGTGCCCTTCCTGATTCATAAACAGACACATTCTGGTCAGTCCCAGAGGCTACACTAAGACCCCCACCTGCAATGCTTCCCCCAGCCCCGCTGGAGTGCTCACCTAAGTCAAGTCCCTCTCCTGGAGGTCCCCTTATCTAACTGCCATCCAACAAGACAATGGGGTCTGGCTTTCTCTCTAACAAATGGCTGCACTTCAAAGGTTTCCCATTAAAATAATAATAATAATGATAATAATAATAATAGCTACAAGGCTCTGCACAACCCAGGCCAATTTAAATCAGGCATTCCTCTCCTCGAGGACCATGGAGGAGGAGGGACCTTCGGAACCCATCACATACTGGAGCAGCACGTGCCTTCTCCAGGGCAACTGTTCTGTGTGTCTGAGGAACTCTTAGGGAAAAGCAACAGCTTCTTGGACAACGTAGAGGGGCAGTTAGGGACATAGGGACCAGGCTCTGAAGCTCCATCCCGCCTGCCCAGGTTTGGGTCTGGATCTGCCCCCTGCAGCTGGCTCCCCTGAGATCAGTGGCATCCCCTCTTTGGGTAGGTTTCCTCATCTATAAAATGGGCCCCTCAACCCCACCTACCTCACAGCATCCTGCTGGGAAACTTATGGATTAACAACTGCAAAGAACACGGGACGTGGCACGCGTTCAATACTGTCATCTGCCTTTTACACGACAGCTACAAATTCTGAAATGCTGAAGATGATGGAAAATGGGCAAATTTTAATTTTGCATGATGGGGGATGGTGCAGGCAGATAGTGGTGGGGAAAAGAGAGAGAAATGAAGGGCTCTTACCTTGGCTCCTCTGTGGCAGTGACTGCGTCTGGAGCTAATGGGCAGGGCTGGTAAGACAGGAACTGGGGACCCTCTTCCTCCAGCGACCCCTCCTCCTTGCAGTTGGCTACCTGTTCTGAACCCCTGGCTTCCTGAGCTGCAGTGAAGTCACCAGGGGATCAAGCCCTGAGAGTCTGACTCACTTGGTCTGGGCGTGGCCTGGGCCTTGGGAGTTCTAACTGCTCCTGGTCATGCTAAAACACACCAGGGCTAAGGACCAACTGGTCCTAAGTCGGGCAGGGAAGGGACATGCTGTGAAGCTGCATCCTCTCCTGTTGGCCCTGGCACGGTGGCTTCCAGAAGTCTGGGGGTGGCAGATGTCTTTGAAATCCCATTTCTGTAGAGAAGAGAAATGGCCTCGCTTGTCCTGTTTCCCTCAGAGCAGCCCTGAGCCCGTGAGGCCCTCTTGGGAGACTGGATGCTGCAAGGAAGCCATCTTCCTCAAGCTCCCTTCACCCAACAAGGCCAAGATTGGTCAGGAGCTGTTCTCCACCCCCCTCCCCCTCCTGCCCCAGCACCTGTTAAAGTCTTTGGGGACATAACCACAGGGTGTGTGGAGTTAGGTGGCTTCTGGTCCATTCAGGGGCGGCTCAGGGAGCAGGCTCTGGCTGCCACGGGTCAGGATGCTCCCATGGAGCTCTGTGGCCTTTCTCTGACCTCATCCAGCTGGGGGAGTCTCACTGCCCGTGGCCCTTGCACACCTGCTTCTCAGCAGGGGTGGGTCCTGGAAGTGAGCATGTGTGCGCATGTGTGTGGTTCAGAACAGCATCTGGGTTGAACTTCAGTGGTCAAATTTACAACCTTAGACCTCAGGGATATTCCTAAAGAGCCCAGGGGTCATTTCATCAATACTTGAAGAAAATCACAAGCACTTAAGGAACAAAATAACGTTTTTATTAAAAATCGTACCCATAGCACCTCTCTCTGCCTTCCTACATGTTGTTGGGTTATTTCTGTTTCTTTTAATGAGGTCTGGTTTTCAGCACAACTTCTGGTAATGCTGTAGGGAAAATATCAGGACTGCCCCGGGCTCTTCTCAAGCCAGAAGGTGAGTCTGGAGGGAGGCAGCCGTGCAGACCAGCTCTGTTCACGAGTTTCCCCACGTCCTCACCTCGGGTTGGGCCCTGTGCTGGCGGATCGAGGTCACCCAGGTGCTCTTCACAGTGCGCAGGAACACGTACAAACGAAAAACCATGCTAGCAACTGCTACGCAGGCACCACACCATGCTTTGGGCCAGTTGTGATCCAGACAAGCACAGCAGTCAAAGAAGTTAGCAGAATGAGCACCACCCTCGTGGGCTGCAGGGTGCCTGATGTGGCGGCCACTGCGATTCTGTCTCCCCCTGGGGCTCACGGTGGGAAAGACCCTGCTGCCCCACATCTTCTTTCACTGGGGCATCGAATGAAGTGCGCCTTAAGTGAATGGGGGAAAGACAAGGAAGGGAAGGTGGGCAGGAAGGGCTGTCCAGGCCAGCTGGTTCAGAGCGTGCCCTACAGGAGGCCGAGGAGACTACAGCTCAGCCCTGGGTCCCTCTCCAGACTCCTATGCCCTGGCACCCGAGGTGGAGAGGGGATCCTGTGTGCAAACCATGCATCTCAACCAGAGCACAGCCCCTCCCATGCCAAGTGCACCATCCACACAGGGAAGGGCACTGGAGACTTCTGTGGGGAGACAGCACTACTGCCACCAAGGCACCTGCGAAATGCACCTTGCAGCACCACAGGACAGAGAACAACCGCTGTGCCCCTTGGTTACAATTTTTGCTTATTCTCAGAACTGAGATTTAGATCCAATGTCCATTTTCCTCTTGTGTGAATTTTTTCCCCTCCCTAAAGATGAGTGATTAGGAATGGATAGTTCTCAATGCACAGGTTGCTCTGGGAGGTCAGACCCTGCTTTTTTGGTGCAGGTGGCTCACATGAGACACAGTCCCTGGTGGTGACAGGCGTGACTGTGGCAACTGACCACTGTCCATCAGCAGCCCCAGCGTCAGTGCAGCCTTAAACCTCACTGAAAGTAGAGGGGATACAGGAAAGATGAGCCTAAAACAAGTGTCATGTTGTCACAAAACCGAAGAGCAAAGCCACATCTCAGACCAAATTGTCCTCAACACTTTTCCCGTTAATTAAAGCAATGTCCTTATGGCTTAAGGAAGCAAAGTGCGCAGCGAGGGGCTGGTTCTCTGGAGCATTCTCTCCCAAGAAATTCAAGTGGTTGAATGTGATCTCCGTCCACTTCACCCTCTCTGGGGCAAGAGGAAGGAGGTGGCTCTGTCCACCGAGGTGGCCCCTCCAGTGGACTAGGGGCGGTGATTCTCACGCAGAAGTGGCTTTGGGCAGAGCATCTAGGATTTTTGGTTTAGAATATTCCCCCTTCCGCGCAGGGAAGGAAGGAAGGGAGGGAGGAATGGAGGGAGGAAGGCAGGGAGAAAGCAGAGGAGAGAGGGAGAACTTTCCACACTCTCAATTTTGGAAAAACTGAAAAGGGTTTTTCACTCCACACAAAACTTTCCTTGGTCTCCTGGGTCACACCCAGCAACCTTCAAAGCAGAGGATCAAGACAACATCTACACTCTGCCCCACAGAGGGGCAGAGAGAAAATGGCCACGTGGGGACCATGTTTTCTACACTTGGCCATGAGACTGACTTCCTGTGGCGCCGGCCAGGGACCTGCCCAGCTGGTTAGCACTCTTAGCACACTGAGGTCCCTGGGAGGACAGTGCCCCACCTTGTCCTGCTGTTCATGGGGGGTGTGTGGAAGGAAGAGCCTCTAATCCTGTGTACGCTGTACTCTGCCCAGGAGTGAGGATGTGGGGCCCTCAGGAGTCCCGGGACACACATGCCAGTTGGAACCAGTAGCGCTCTGGTCACACCCAGACAGGTCCCCAGGCTGAGAGAGGCCACCTGCAACCGAGCTAGCTGTTGGAAAAGTCAAAGTTTGGCTGGAGGCACAGCTGTGGTCTGGACTCTATATTTTCCAAAGTAGTTCAGACTATTTTCATTTAGCTTAAAAAAATTAGAACAAATGAGTGACAATTACAGAAAAAAAATTCCCAGAAAAACCTGTTAAGGCTTAAAGCTGGCCTTGGATGGGGAGGGCAGCAGCACCGGTGGTCAGAAGCAGGGGGCAGCCCGTGGTGGCAGGAGGACGAACGGAAGGACTGTTCCCACGTGCCTGGAGTGGCCTGGGGTACACGGGGTGACTCGGGGCCCGGTTTCTCAGAGTGGGTTTGCTTTATTTGGAGACATTGTCGCTTCTCGTCTTTCCCATGTACAAAGCAGAACATATTAATAAAAAGGCACCCGGAGACAGCAAAGACGCATTCATTTCATGTGACATATTTTAAAAAAAGATAAAAAGATTTAAAAAATACTCTGGTTAACAATGCACACTTCCTACACTTTGACAAGCAATTCTGCAAACGCCACCTCACTCTTGGTCAGCAGGGTTGGCCGTGTGCTGTGTGTTCACGGGAAAGACCCAGTTGCACGGGCTTCAGGGGCTTCCCAGAGCCTGGGGTAGGGGGAAGGGCTTCTTGTTCTTGCACTATCAGCTTGAAAGAAAGGAGGGGAGAAAGGAAAGCCCCAGAATAATTTACCACCGGAGTGACGGTGTGCCCAGCTGAGCCACAATGGGGCCAGGGGACACCACCTCCCAATCACCTGCCCATTGCTAAGACCTTAAAGCTGATTCCTCGCCTAGAATCTGCAGAATGAGAGCATTTCAGACACGGGTGTGGGGGGGGGTCACCAAGCTGGAGCCCAGGTTTGCTCTCCACACCCCAGGAGTGAGCAAGGAGGCCGAAGGTATCCTAACACGGAGAACGTGAGCTGGCTGGTTCTTGGGAGAGGAGGTAGAGAGAGACAGAGGCCTGAGCTCTGTTCCCCTGGCCCTCGGCTCTTCTGCCCCTGACCCACCTCCCCAGGTGACCTGGAGGATGGAGACACCTGGGGCTGGCGGTGCCACACCAGGGCACCAGGGAGATATACCTTCTCTTAAAAAGAAAAGAAAACAAAGAAACCTGCTTCCTGCAGCGATGTTACAAAAAGCCATAAAAAAAACCTTCCTAAGTGGAACCTAGTGTTCACTTGTAGGTAAAATCATCGCTTATCAGAATTTTTTTTTTTTTTAAACAAAAACTTCAGCTCAGTTATCAGAGTTGATTGTCTTAACAAAAATAGACTCCGGAAGGTCCGCGGTGGTTCTACCCTGATGGAGGCGCCCGTGTCACACGAAGGAAGAGAAGCCGGTGAGCGGGGCCCGGGCGCTGGGGCCTGCGGGCGTGTACACGCCGCCTGCGCTCTGCGTGGTGATGACTGTGTGCAGGTGCGGGCCAGCCTCGGCCCCCGCCACTGCCTCGTACCTGTGTGGCGCCGCTGGGGGCCTCCGCTTCCAGGAGTTGTAGTAGGTGGGGTCGCTCATGTAGTGGTTGACAAAGGAGTGCTTGGGCAGCGGGTCCTCGTAGTCCGAGTCAGAGGCCTGGGGGAGAGGGACAGTGTGAGAGGGGACAGGGGATGCAGCAGGGATGGAAAGCCACGTGGGGTGGGGGTGATGGCTGCAGAGGGGCTTGGAGGAAGAAGGCAGAGACCAGGAGGAGGGACAGCAACACCACTGGAGTGTGTGGGGCGGTGTCCCTCCTTCCTGCCCTCTCCACCTCCTCCCACTGCCCTGGGCAAGGTATCACTCTGGAAGAGGTCCACATGGCCACCCACAAGACCCCACTGGGATCTTCCTGTGACTTTGGGTGCAGAACACAGAGGTGCAATAGGGCAGGAAAGTCCCCAAGCCGTGGCCTTTGTGCGTCCAAGATGTAGGCTGCCATGGACCAAAGAGAAAGGACCAGGGAGAAGGGAGCCTTGAGCCCCAGGGAGGCTCAGGGGGAGGCCACTGGCAGGACTGTGGGGGTGCCAGAACTGCCGCTGCACCAAAGCGTATTTGCCCAACATTTCCATGTACCCTCCCCCAGCGGTGAAGACCTGGCCCCCCCAACCCTGCCAGGGACAGCTGCATCCCGAGAAGTCTGAGGCTCAGTCCTCTTGAGGGGTGACTGTTATCTTTATAAAACAAGGCAGCAGCTTCCGTAGGAACATTTACCCCATGTTCTCTGTGTTCACTGTCTTCAAGCAAGCTATTCTGTGGTCTTCTGGGTTGACATAAGTCATTGGAAGGATTGCTAAAAAGACGGAGGCCAAGGCAGGGTGGAGGATCCTGCCAGACACTGCCCCCTCCTGGGCCTCTCTCCAGGGGTCCTGAGAGCTTCCTGAGCCCCTCAGGGAGCCATGTGGAGGGGCCAGAGCCCACCAGGCCCATCTGGGCTCTAAGACCCTGGGGACCCCACAGGCGCCTCACGTCTCCAGAATAGGAGGCCACCCACACCTAGACATGCCCACATGGTTCTGGTTCTGTCCCCATGGTGGCCAGGCAGCCTTTCAAGCTCAAGAAGGGAGAAAGATAGAGTTTCTTCTTCAAGGTCCTGACAGCATGTGGGGACCCTGGCTTTGGGACATGTGCTGTCTTGCCCTGTCCCTTAGGCTCCCAACATCTCCACTCTGTGCTCTAGACCTGACCTCTCAAGGGGCCAGTCACATCTGCCCGTTTTCTCTCCCCAGTAGACTTGGAATGAGTGAGCAAACCCAGGCTGTCTCAGAATAGTCAGTGCAGCCCTAAGACCAGATTCTTGGGTGGGACTCAGGGCCCTGGAGGTCTGGGATGCTTATGTTTTAGAAGCTCCCAGAAGATTCTGGTAAGTGTGAGGCTGGGAGCTGCTGGCCAGTGGTGGCATTCCAAGGGTGTGAGGCTGGGGAGGTTGTGCCCTAGTCTCAGAGCCTCCTCCAGACTGTAAATACTCTTAAAAGGAGAAGCACTAACCCAGCTCTCCTCGGGAGTAGGACCCGCATCCTCTCAGCTGGGGTGGGTGGGGAGGGGCAGCTGCTGCTTCCCCACTTGGCACATCCCACTGGAGTCCACGCTGAGACTCGGGGGAATATAACATCTGAGTGTTGTGAGTGCCATTGCTGCTGCTGACCCGGACCACACAGGAGTCCCTCGGACACACAGGGTGGAGCCCGAGTGTCCCAGAATGTTCAGATACAGACTGAATTTTGGGCTTTAAGTAGAATATTCATATGAAGCAAGCTGCAGAATTGGGACACTGAATGCAAACAGCCCGTCAAGTGGCAACTGAGTGCAGCTATACTTTGCTTCATCTGCTTCTTACTTGTTAAAGCTCCTATAACGCAGCCTGACACTGCATCCCGGGATGCTGAGCGCACCAGCTTCTCTGTAATCTAATCCTGATGACAAACAGTGCAGCGGTTCCTTTTTCATGACCACTTATCACATACCAGATTAATCCACTTGCAGAATCTACAACTGCCTGCTGGCCTGTGCTGTGCGGTTAATCCCATTTCACGGATGAACAATGAGGCTCGGAGAGTCCAGCCAAATAGGAGTCCATGCCTGAGTGCCTAAGCCAAGGGTTTTGTGCCTCCATGGACAGGAACTTACTCCCATCTCTTGACATCTCCTTCCCACCAGCTCAACCGGCCCAACTCCCTCATGCTACCCAACAACCCCAAACCCACAGTGCTCTGAAATCCAAAACTTTTTAAACTCATCTGGTGGAAGGCTGCCCTGCCTGAAGACAGCTGCTGCAGAGCTGAACTAATGTGGGCAGTTGATCCTGAACTCTTGCTGAGGAAATACGGGTGTGTGTGATGGCGCAGTGACTGTTCACTGTGCTGGGTGTCACTGAACGCAGGGTTGGTCCTCGTCCACTAATGTGGAGTTACAAAGTATGTTTGGCCTTCCCGGTAGGAGATCAAGGACCTATACTGTGGCTGCTGTCTAGATGCACTTTCCATCTGTTTTCTAGAAGACTCCAGGTGGTTGAGAAGGTTCTGTGGACATTAAGACTGGAGAAGAGGGAACTGATCACCCCACAGAAGCATAAGGACTCTACATTGTCAGCCCTGAATTGAGTTGCCCCGTCTTTAGACGCCAACTTCAATTCTGAATTTCCTGAAGCTTAGGGGAGAGAGGGGTGTTGGAAAGGCCTTAATGACATCACTGTTCTCACGAGAAACTCACAGAAAAGTTAGGCATGGGCGATGGCAATTTTGTTCCATGTTTTACACACTAGGGTTAAAGTCATGGTCATCTGAGGATGGACGTTACACCTGGTTATTACCCCTGCAGGCCACATCTTCAGTGCCCCATGGCCTCCCTCTTCCACCCCCTACCACGAGGAGGCTGGAGGGAAGGGGAGAGGCAGTGACTGGATACAAGTTCCTCATTTTGTCTGAAAGAATCGAGATTGACAAATTCAAGTGACCTCAGGTCACACTGGCCAGGCCACACTGAGGGTATCTCAAAGTCAGCAGGAATGAAGCCTTGCTAGGAACGGGTAGGGGACATTTACTTGTCCAATAAAAGGTAGACAGACACCCTCGCTGTGAGCGTATCTCGGATCAAGTCTCCTAGTGGTGGAGGAATCATGGCGCTCAGTGGGAACATGAGCCATTAATTCTGCTTCAGTAAACCTGTCACTCATCCACTGGGGCTTCCCTCTGCCCTCCTGGTGCCCTTGCCCACCCCTTCTCCTGTGCTGTAGGGGAAGCAGGGGGACCTGGAATGGGCCACTGCATCCTCCCAGGAGCCTGGGTTAACAAGAGTACATCATTGAGACCCACTTAGAGGATGAACATACTCTGTTCCACACAGGTTCCTGTTTCCATGATTAATAAAATGCCTTTTATTGAAGACTTCTTATATGCATCATGTTGCACGGCTCCAACCAAAGGTCTAAACATGCTATGGTGCCAGAAGAGGGGTCTGTGATAAATGCGGCTGCTAAGAAGGGGTCTTGGCAGGAGACACGTACTGGGGGTGGCTGTCCAGCACACAGGATGTCCAGCATTGGTATCGGCCTTGACCTGTTCTTGGAAGGAAGCCATCCTTCCTCATCCCCTGGGATGAAAGGCTCTTGCCTCTCAGAGGGCAGTAGCTGGAACCTGGGTGGGCATGTAACATAGGCTGAGCCAGGCAGACTCGGGCCTCTGGGTTTCCATAGAGCATCTGGGAGGGAGGGGCTCTTGGTGTGAGGACAAAGCTGGAGGTTGGAGCCTGGCGCAGGCCTTGCCCATGGACTCACTCAGGCAAGGGATTCCAAAATCCATCTGAGAGAGCAAAACTGAGACAGTAGGACCAAAGGATAAGTGCACCCCTGGGCCTTGGCTCATACCTGACAGCCACAGATAGGTCCTGCCTTACTTCAAGTACCAAATGTGTGAGACAGTGCCAGGCACATCACTACAGCCAGGGGCTGTCACAACATGGCTCCTCAGGGCCATGTTCCTCAGCACCACCTGCTAGCAGATGATGAACCTGTCTCCTTTCTTCAGTTCCAGGGAGCCGACCTGACACTTTGATGTGGGAGCTGGGTCTCACTTCCAGTGGAGGCTCTAGTAAAGGATTTGTCTGCATGTTTGTATTTGTGGGACTTGGTTTCATTTCTGTTGTCATTGAGTCAAAGTTCCCAGTGTCTGGCATCAAAACCATCATGCGGAAAGGAACTCAGAGGAGAGACTAAGAGGGGCTTCTTTGCTTCTTGCTCTTCATAGGGAAGAGTCAGGAGAAGGTCCCCAGGGTTAAGTGACAAGGAGATGTCAGCAGAGCTTTTGGCTCCTGCTCAGACTGTGCTGTTGGGTCCCCGATAAAGGACAGCATTAAAACGCCATCCCTCCTCCTGTCACTGGCTCTGTTTATTGTTTATATGACGTTATTATTTTTTAATGGGGATATATTTTAGTGAGTGAAAATTATTGACAAAGAGGAAATGCTGCAGGGCCTTTTTCTTTTTTTTCAAAGTTTCCTGTGTGATGTGAAGTTGCAGTGTGTGTTGGTTTCCCAGGAAACCACAGGAGAACGAAATGTGATTGGATGCAGTGTCCAACTGACTGTGAGAGTCCCCAAGGGTGCACAGAGGCCTGGCAGCACCTCCGAGACCTTCTCAGCCCTTGGGGTTCTACTCTGGCAAGCACTTAGGGAGTTCACCAGGTACAAGAGGCTGGTCTAAGTTGGCCAGAGCTGGAGGGATTTTGAAAACGGTTTCTTTGGATTTCAAAATCAGTTTTCACATGTGATTCCAACAGCCATGCTGATAACATTCACAAGCAGCCGTGTGAGGAAAGGTGACAAATCCTCTCATTTCTAACCAGAGCAACAGAAAGAGCCCCAGAGCATGTCATGTGACCAGGCTGGTCCTGTGCACCTGCGAGCTTGCTCATAGAATTTCCACTTTGACAATATTTTTGAAAATGGTTTTAAAATGCCCTGGGGAGAAAAGCATGGCACCGTTATTTTCTTAGTGAAATATTAGCTTCTCAGAATTCTTCCAGCAGAGACCAGATAGGTTTCTAATTCCTCATCCCCTGAGCTCTGGAGAAGCGGGGGAGTAGGGACACGGGCCCTGTCTGAGG